TTTTCTTTTTGCTTATGTGGTGCTGAGGAATCGAACCCAGGGCCTCAGGCATGCAAGGCAAGCGCTCTACCACTGAGCCACCTTCCCAGCCCCTCAATTTTCATTTTCTACTATTCCCACATGGTATATTTCAAAATACCTCTCTCTAGTTTCTGTGTGTGCACCATTCTTACCATTGCTAATGACTGGATTATTCTTTCTTTTACATCTCTTTATTAGTCTGTATATCTTTCCTTTGCTTTTTGGTTCTATTTGTACATTTTCTCTCATAATTTTGCTTTCAAATTGGCTTATCTTACCTCTTTTCATAGTATATGTTACATATTATCCATATGAATCTACAGTGGGGTACCAGTGGCTCATGCCTGAAAGCCTAATTACTCTAGAGGCTAAGATCTGAGGATTACTGTTTGAAGCCAGCCTGGGAAAGAAAGCCTGTGAGAGACTTTTATCTTTACGGAAAAGCCAGAAGTAGAGCTGCTATCATTGAGTAGATTAAAAGCAAAGGAAAGGAGTTCAAGCTCCAGTATTGGCATACCAATACACAAAGAGGAATACACAAAGAGGTGCCCCCTCTCCCCCTTCCCTCAAGACCCCCCTTCTCCCCCCCTCCCAAGGTACTGGTAGCTCATTCCTGTAATCCTAGCTACTTCGGAGGCTGAGATCTGAGGATCGTGGTTTGAAGGTAGCTCCAGTGGGAAAGGTTCTTATCTCTAATCTCTATCTTGAATCTCTTATCTCTAATATATCTCTAATATATCTTTATCTAATATATCTCTAATATATCTTTAGGTGGTTACCTAAAAACTGGAAATAAAATTGTGGCTCAAATTGGTAGAGGACACCCCGGCCCTATGTTCAAGTCCCATAGCTGCAAAAAAATCTAATTATATGTAGTATAATAATATATAATATGTAAGTATCGTGTTTTAGATATTTTCTTTGTTTTTATTTTAATACCTAAAATATATAAAAGTTTACTTAGTGTGAAATATAACTTTTTTTGTTTTGGTGCTGGTCCTGGTGTTTGAACTCAGGGTATTGTCCCTGAGCTTTTGTACTCTAGGCTAGCAGTGTGCCACTTTGAGTTCACAGCTTCTTTCTGACTTTTTTGTGGTTAATTGGAGATAAGAGTCTCATGGTCTTTCCTTCCTGCTTTGGCTTTGAACAGAGTCCTCAGATCTCAGACTCCTGAGTAACTAAAACTACAGACATGAGCCACTAGTACCAAGCGGATGAAGCAACTTTTTTTTTTTGGTCAGTCGTGGGGCTTGAACTCTGGGCTTGGGTGCTGTCCTTGTGCTTTTCAGCTCAAGGCAAGCACTCTACCACTTGAGCCATGGCGCCACTTCTGGTTTTCTGGTGGTTAATTGGAAATGAGTTCTGGTTTTCTGGTGGTTTATTGGAGATGAGTCGCATGGACTTTCCTGCCTGGGCTGGCTTTGAACCGCACGATTCCCAGATCTCAGCCTCCTGAGTAGCTAGGATTACAGGCGTGTGCCCGGCTGAAGCAACTTTTAAAAAATAGATTTGCCTTTTAAAAACTGTAGCCTTTTCCCCTCATTGTTTGAAATGTGTTAGAAAGAGCATGGAATGTTGGGGTGTTGCGTAGGGAGAAGGATACCAACTCGAAAGGAATTAGGCAAGGCACAGTTTACTTCTGCCGAAGGGTGTGCTATCAGCCAAAAAACCTGGCAAGCAAGCCCCCAGAGGAGGTAGGCTGCTCCCTTTTTTTCCCTGTCCTGGCCAGCCCTGCCCCTCTGCTCATGTTGACTGAGCTCAGGTTCACCATCTGCAAAAGGAGGTGGCTTAATTAACAGGATGTAACTAAAATCAAGGCGCGATAACAGGATATGGCTTAAAGTGCTCAAGAAAAGGATGTATGTAACTAAAATGTAATTGAGGGCCAAGCTATCTTGTCAAAAAGCAGGAACCCTTCAGAAAAAGTTCTTTTAAGATTAACAGACAGAAAAGAAGTTTTTCTCACAAATATGACCTTATCATGTGTATACAATATAAGTAGAACATATGTGTATACTGTATTATATATGCATACATTTATTGTTGTTTTGAACAGGGTCTTGCTCTGTAGTCTATGCTGGACTGAAACTTGCTGTGTAGCTCAGACTGGCTTTTAGCTTGCAGTCCTCTTGCCTCAGCCTCTCCTGTGCTGGTATTATAGTTATATACTGTTGTATCCAGAGCCATTTACCATATTTTAAAATCTTACATGGGCTGGGAAGGTGGCTCAGTGGTAGAGTGCTTGCTTTGCATGCATGAGCCCTGGGTTCGATTCCTCAGCACCACATAAGTAGAAAAAAAAAGCTGGAAGTGGCACTGTGGCTCAAGTGGTAGAGCACTAGCCTTGAGCTGAAGAGCTGAGGGACAGTGCCCAGGCCCAGAGTTCAGGCCCACGACCGGACCAAAAAAAATAAAATAAAATCTTACATATGCTAGAGGCACTCTGTGCTGCTTGTTCTGTCTTATAAACTTTATGATAGTTTTAGCATTCAGTAGATTATCATTCTTTTTGTACATTTATGTTCATTCACTATTTTAACTAGTTGCTACAATTTCTTTTATTTCAGGAACATTTTAGTGGATAAACCAAATGACCAATCTTCAAGATGGTCCTCAGAGAGCAACTATCCTCCCCAGGTAAGATTATATGTAGCAGTTGATCCTGTGTTTTAATCTGATACCTAATAATAGTTCGTGTTTTTGGACTGTGAGGTACATTTTTCTTAATTTTTCAATTTTGGAATAATTTTTATTTTATAGGCCAATATAGTACGGGATTTTTTTAACAGACTTTTACTTTTGTCTACTGGAAGATTTAAATTCTAATTTATATATTCTTTTGAATTAGTGATAATTCAAAGCTAAATTTCTTGACATTTAATGAGGAAAATATCAACAAAGAACAGCCATTTTTTTTTGAGTTGAGCAGAGGTTGTGACTCCTAACCCCTGTTCCATTATACTAAAGCTCCATTATACGCATTTACATTCTGTAAATGTTTAAGCAAATGTTAATAAATTTAACTTTGATTCATGACTATTTTTGAGGAAAATAAACTTAATATAGTATACTATTTTATTAAAATATTTGTATGCTTAGATGGTGTTAAGATCATGAACTTAAATTCCTTTTCTCCAATGTCTGTCTAAATGTAAAACTAATTATTCTTTGGATCATTAATGTTTATTGTATACTAGGCACATTTATAGTGGAACTTGTTAAAACATTTAAAATTTTAATAGAATTCATGGAAACTTGAGTTCCATCTGTCCTTCTTTATCTCCTGTCTCCTTTTCTTTTCTCCCTTTCTTTTTCTCCCTTTCCCCTTTTCTCTCTCCCCATTTCCTCTTTTCTTTCTAATCATTTGTCTATTGCTGTTTACATAGCTTTTGGATCACCTGCTGTTTATCTGTTTTATTGTAAAATACGTGTTTAAAAATATGTGTATATTCATAGTTTATATATATAATGTGATATAGAAGTGACCTGATTACTTACCATTTTTAGAAATGAAAAATTACTTAAAACTTTGAAAGCCTCCTATGGGCTCAATCTTCTGTCTGTCCTTTTACCCCTCCTATGTATTCATTTCATACTTTTGTCAAACATTTTCTTATAGTATTATATATGAAGTACTTATTAATACCCTATGATTTAAATTTCTGGTTTCAACTTTATAAATCTTTTGTAATAGGTTTCTTTATGACATTTTCATTATATACATGTAATAAACTTCTATTATGTTCTTCTCATCATTCTCTGCTTCCCTCCCTGAACATCCTACTCCCCTCCAAATAATCCATCCTTTCCTATTTCTTGTGTTGTAGGTTGTGAGTTGCACATATGTTATGATAGATACCTCTTTGGGTTTTATTTAGGGGATCTTCTCTTGAAGATTCAGTGCTCAATGTTATTCAGAGAGGAAAAAACATTCACTGTAACACTAACAACTGTTCAGGCTGGTGTTATATTCAGGATGAGGTCGGGGACCAGTCAAGGATCATTTTTCTGCTTCTGCAGAGAAGTTTCTCTTCTTTACATATGGGAGACACTGCCATCTCCAATGAGCTTTACAGCCTGTGTGCTACGCAGCTTCATTGTCTGAACCAACCAGTTTATGGACTCAATGGTGGTCGAAATCTAAGACAAGGAATATTCCTAACAGGAATGGGCTTTTTTTTCTTCAGAGGACCCATATGGATATTTATGACAGCATTTTCAGACTGTACAAAATTTTTAATATAGGCAGATGACTGCAGGTAGGCTACAAGAAGCCTGCATGTGTGTCCTGTCATATGTCAAATTATTTTGAGTGAAATAAATCAGACAGAAGTACACATTGTATGTATCTTAAAAAATACAAACTATAAAACCAAAGTGCCTTTTCCCATTTGCTTATTAACTTGTTTATTCAGTTGTTTTCTCTTCCCCTTCCTCCTCTTTTCTTTTGTGCTGAGCATTGACTGGCCTCACACATGTTAGGCAAATACTACAATGGAGTTATGTAGTTTTTATTATTGTTGCAACAGTAGGGTTTGAGCTCAGGGCCTTTTGCCAGGCACTCTGTCACTTGAGCTATACTTTTAGGTTTAACTATTGTTTTAGTTATTTTTTAGATATCTTGAGTTTTTGTCAGGGTCAATTTTAACTGATCCTTCTAGTCTCTACCTCTTAAGTAGCTAAGATTTTCTGTGTGAGCCAATGAGCCCAACTAACTGTTTTTTGTTTGTTATACTCTAGAGCCCTGTGGTTGCTGGACTGGCAGCCAATCACTTGAACAGTACCCCCAGACCTTCTTTTTGCTGGTTGTTTTGGAGATAGTGTCTAACAAACTTTTCTGCCCATGCTGGCACTCCACCACTTGAACAGTTATCTAGCCCTGTTGTTTTCTTTTTTGTTTTTTTGGGTCCGGTCGTGGGGTCTGAACTCTGGGCCTGGGCACTATCCCTCAGCTCTTCAGCTCAAGGCCAGTGCTCTACCACTTGAGCCACAGTGCCACTTCCGGCCCTTTTTTTTTCTGCTTATGTGGTGCTGAGGAATTGAACCCAGGGCCTCATGTATGCAAGGCAAGCGCTCTACCACTGAGCCACCTTCCCAGCCCAGCCCTGTTGTTTTCTTATTGTTCAGTTTTAAGCGTTCCTTATCTTTTTATTTAAGTTTTTTGTCAAATATATTTTCAAATATTTTCTCTCTGTGGCTTTCCTCTTTATACCATACCTACACTCCAGCTGTCCTAGAAGGAATTAAGTATCACGTTAACTATGGATTTTGGTGGATATCAGTTTGAGAAAGTTTACTTCAGTTCATAATTCCCTGAGTTTCTAATTTTGATGGCTTTAGAATTTTGCTTTTGCTGCAGAATACCTTAAAACATTTTCATGTTCCTTTCCTCCCCTTAGAATAGAATCTATATTTCTTAACATGGTCATAAATTATAGTTCTTTTTAGTGAGAGATGCTTTCCTCACTATGTCTTGAATCTTGTGATGAAGTAGTATTACAATTTCTAAGTTGATAATTGTCTCAGGCCTCTTAGAACTCTGGGGCAACTTGTGCTTTGAGGTAAGCCTATGTAGCCTTCTTGAGAAGTATGCAATAGAGAGGCCCAGTCCTGGCTTAGCCTAGCCTCCCCATCTCCCACTCCATGTAAGCCCAATTATCTCACTAATCCTACTAGTTGAAATGAGTCCAGGAGATACTCAGTGGGAGAAATGTCTAGCAGATCATGAGAAATCATGTTATCACTGTTGTTTAAAAAAACAAAACAAAACAAGAACAATAAAAACAGAACTGACTGTCCAGGTGCCAGTGGTCACATCTGTAATCCTAGCTACTCAGGAGACTGAGATCTGGGCAGGAAAGTCTGTGAGACTTAACCACAAAGTGGTAGAACATGACTATCCTTGAGCAAAAAAGCTCTGGTATAATGCCCGGTCCCTGAGTTCAAGCACCAAAGACTGGCACAAAAACAAGCAAAAAAAAAAAAAAAACCAACCCCAAACAAAAACCAGAGTGTTTTATACATGGCCCTTCATATATATTTAGATATACAGCACGAACCTTATTAGTCTTATTCTATGATTCCTGTTAGCCAATTCTTCACCTCAGAGTAAATGATTTTTTCCTATAACTGAAGTCAGAAACTCATTTTTGATACCTTCTTTTCCCCTTCCTACATCTTAATCTTTCACCAGATCCCATCAATAATTTTCCTTATGCATATGTCAAAACTGTTTAGTCTCTCTAACTATAGCATTCTAGTCCAAGTTTCCCTCACCTTAACTCTTTTTTTATTATTGTTATTGTGAAAATACCATACAGAGGTGTTACAGTTACATGGGCAAGATAGTCAGTACACTTCCTATCAAGCATTGTTGCCTCCTCCTTTGTTTCCCCATACCATGCCTTCACCTCTCCACCCCCACCCTCACACCCCCCTACCACCACCACCACCCCACCCCGCCAAAGTTGTAAAGTTCGTTTTTCGACATAACATCTTGTACATCTCATTGTTGTAATGGGTCCACCTGTAACTCTCACCTTAACTCTTGTCTGCTAGTTCCTATAGTCCATTTTTTCATGAAACTGTGTATTTGTACCTGTGACCAGATCTTGGCTTTCCATTGTGCCTAATAGATCTTAAGTGCATTTTTGTAATTTGAGCTGTCAAATGTTATAGACTACATAATCTAGTGGCTGTCTACCTCTTCATTTTCAGCATATACCTCCTTCAGGCTTTCTGGGTTTCATCTACACTGATATTTCACAGAACCTAGAATTCATTTTAATCCTTCATCACTTTTTTGCCTGCCTGATTCTTAGTGGTTTGAATAGTAGTTATCCCCCTTTGCGCTGTTCCCCCATATATGGGACTTTAGATTGTGACCTTATTTAATAGAGTTGTTTAGCAAACATAATTAAGGTAACAATCTTTGGTTGAGATCATTACTTGATTAAATTGTAAATCTAGTGAAAGTGTTTTTATTAGACACAGAAAAGTAGAAGACAGGGGAGAAAACCTATGTGAAGATGGTAGCAGTAATTAGTTATTCTGCCATTAGTCAAACACAGGAAACCAGCTCGGCACTAATCACTTGTAATCCTTGCTACTCAGGAGGCTGAGACCTGGAGGTTTGCAATTCAGAACCAGTCTGGAAAGAAAAGTCTGCAGTACTGTATCTCCAACTAGCCAGTAAGAATCCAGGCTGGAGGCATGGCTCAGCTGGTAGTGTGACAGCCTCAAGCAAGAAAGCTCCTCTGGAGCTAGAGGCTCTCATATAAGTTCAGGCCTCAGCGTGCACATGCGCATGTGCGCGTGCACACACACACACACACACACACACACACACACACACATTCTCTTCTGGAAAATGTCTTACACATACACTTTCTCTTCTGGAAAATGTCTTCTCTACACACACACACTCTCTCATCTCTCTTCTGGAAAATGTCACACACACACACGCACGCACGCACACACACACACACACACACACACACACACACACGAAAATGTCTTCCCTAGAGTCTTTGGAGGGAGTCAGATACTATTGACACCTTGATTTCAGATTTAGAATCTTTTGTGATTAACTTTTTAATTCATGTTATATCACATATCAGCACTGATATTATCATAGAATAGTTGGAAGTTCTTCAGAAAGTTAAACATAGAATTACTACCTAACCATTCTAAGGTTCATACTTAGAGGAGGTTAAAAGAAAAAGATACTCAAAAAACCTCATCAATGTTTATAGCAGTACTGTTCACAGTAGCTCAAGGGTTGAATCAACCCAAATATCTGTCAACTGGTGAATGACCAAACAAAATATAGTGTTTTCATGGTATTGGAATATCAGTAAGGACAGGGATCTGTAATTTAGTTGTATTTTTTGTTTTTAGTACTTGATCCTGAAACTCGAAAGGCCTGCTATCGTTCAGAATATCACATTTGGAAAATATGAGAAAACACATGTCTGTAATTTGAAGAAATTCAAAGTCTTTGGTGGAATGAATGAAGAAAATATGACTGAACTATTGTCCAGGTGAGTTTTGGTTAACGTGAAAGAAGAGCTATCTTTGAAACAAATTTTTTGTAGCTCAATCTCCATGTGTTTATTTTCAAAGGGATTAAGGAATATTTCTTCTGTTTTAGTCTTGATGCCTTTTAAAAATGACTTGAGGGATTTTTTTTTGGGGGGGGAGTCTGTGTTTGTTTTTTGTTTTTTGCTTTGTTTTGTTTTTTGGTGCCTGTCCTGGGACATGAACTGAGGGGCCTGGGTGCTGTTCCTGAGTTTTTGTGCTTAAGTCTAGTGCTCTACCCCTTGAGCCCCACAGCTCTACTTCCAGCTTTTTTGGCAGCTAATTAAAGATAAGAGTCTTACAACTTTGTTGTCTAGGCTGTCTTTGAATGCAGATCTCAGTCTCCTGAATAGCTAAGACAGTGTGAGCCACTGACACCTGGGAACTTTTTTTTTTTTTTTGGTCGGTCATGGGGCTTGAACTCTGGGCTTGGGCGCTGTCCCTGAGCTCTTCAGTTCAAAGGCGAGTGCGAGTGCTTTATCACTTGAGCCACAGTGCCACTTCCGATTTTCTAGTGATTTATTGGAGATAGAGTCTCGAGGACTTTCCTGCCTGGGCTGGCTTTGATCCACAATCCTCAGATCTCAGCCTCCTGAGTAGCTAGGATTACAGGTGTGAGCCACCAGCGCCCGGCAACATTTTTTTTTAAATTACTATATACTTGTTTCTATTTTTCACCAATGAATAAAGCATAAATTGGTTGTTTCCTTTTTTGTCATAATTTTAACTTAAAAATTTCAGAAATATTTTCAACTTTAATAAAAAAAAATCTGCTTATAGTGCAAGGCTCTAGGTACAAACCATAACAGTGCAACAAAATGAAACCAAAACCCATACGAAACTTTGATGTATTTGTTCCAATCAAAGTAGAAACTCTACCTAAAGTATTGATTGCAGTAATTTATTAGCAGTGTTCTAAGACTTTACTGTAAACTGGAGACTAAAAAGGAGAAAGTTCTATAAATAAAAGAAATACAACAAGGCATAGATTAGTGCTGTTCTTGAGGGCTTGAATTCAGGACTTGGATGCTGTTCCTGAGCTTTGTTTTGCTCAAGGCTAATGCTCTGCCACTTGAGCCACAGTTCAACTTCAGCTTTTTGGAGGTTAATTGGCTTTTTGATAGCTAATTGGATAGTTAATTGATAGTTAAAGAGTCTCACAAACTTTCCTGCCTGGGCTAGCTTTGAACTGCAATCCTCAGATCTCAGCCCCCTGAGTAGCTAGGATTACATGTGTTAACCACCATCATCTAGCTTAGATTTTGACTTTAAAATAGATTGTCAGGAATGTTAAATTGGCCCCATTAAAACCAAAATCTGTAACCCTAGCTACTCAAAAGGCTGAGATCTATGGATTGCAGTTCAAAGCTAGCCCAGGCAGGAAAGTCAGTGAGGTTTATGTCTAGTTAACATCAGATAGTTAATGGAAATGCCAAATAAAGCCATGGAGGTTTCAAATATGTGTGTGACATGGTATGTATAATTAACAAAGTATTTTATTGTAAATCTATGCTCTATTTAAGTGATAGAAGCATTTTAGTGTATAAGGCAGCCTTAAGACAAGTAATTTTCTCGAAAGTACTTCTGTGAATGCTAGTTGGTTAATTAGAGAGGTGATACAGGCTAGTTTTTGTATAGGATATTGCTGATGGTGTTAACAGAACGTAGTTATTTTTGAAAATATCTTTAATTATAAAAGGAAATATTAGCATCTCAAGAATCAAATAACAATTCTTTGACAAATTCTAGCATTTGGCTTTATTTAAGTTGTCAGATATGAATGTGAGCTGTTATTTGTTTAATATTTCCTACTGCTTGACATATTCAGTTACGTGTTCCGAGCATTTGGTTCTGTCACACTTTAGCTACATTAATTAATATCCCTCACATGATGAAAAGAGAATGAATGCCGTTGACTTGAATGTACATGATCTGATCTATATTCTCTTACTCAATTTTATATTTATATTGTCTTTGCCATATGTTTGGAGTGTAGCATCTGATAACCTAAGTTTTATTCTCCCACAGTGGCTTAAAGAATGATTATAACAAAGAAACATTCACCTTAAAACATAAAATTGATGAACAGATGTTCCCTTGTCGATTCATTAAAATAGGTATGTCTTTAATGTTTGGGAATTGAACAAGTTCTTTATGGAGGGCCTCTTTTTGAATGAACTTTTATAGGAGCATTGGCACACTGGTTAGTTCACGTGTTATCTTACTCTGAATTTATACTCCAGAGGTGGAAGTGAATAAGTATAAGAAAACATCATAGGGGCTGGGAAGGTGGCTCAGTGGTAGAGCGCTTGCCTTGAGTGCCTGAGGCTCTGGGTTTGATTCCTCAGCACCACATAAGCAAAAAGAAAAAAGCCATAAGTGGCGCTGTGGCTCAAGTGGTAGAGTGCTAGCCTTGAGCTGCAGAGCTGAGGGACAGCGCCCAGGCCCAGAGTTCAGGCCCCTCGACTGGACCCCCCCCCAAAAAAAAGAAAACATCATAGCCTAAGTCTTTTCTCATTTGCAAGTTTCCTTAGAAAATGTTAGGGATAACATGATTTTATTGACATAATTGTTTTGTAGGAGGTTTATCAGTTATTCTAGACTAGTAACATCCCTAGAACTACATTTGAATGGATTACATTTTCTTTTCCTCTATTTTTTCTTCCGTCTTTCCTTCCTTCCCCTCCCTTCTTCCATTCTTCCCTGCCTCTTTCTCAGTCTCTTTCTCTCTGTATGTTTCTCTCTGTGTGTCTGTCTCTATTTCTCTCTTGCTGCTATATAGCTATAGGAACCTTCATAATGCTGGCATATAGATGATGCTCAGGAAATTTGTTGAATAAATCCTTATAGGCTTGCAGAGTGAGTTTACTTTGCTAAAATTTTCTTTGAACTATGTAATTTGTTTTTTGTTCTGTTTTTTTTCATTCTTGAAGTGCCACTTTTGTCTTGGGGACCCAGCTTTAACTTTAGCATCTGGTATGTTGAACTTAGTGGCATTGATGATCCTGATGTAGTACAACCCTGTCTCAACTGGTATAGCAAGGTAGGACTGTATTTAAATTTTTTACTTTACATTTAACACTTATGGAGGGAAAAATGTGGTTTTTTTAAATCTTTATTGTAGATAATTTATAATTATATGTTATAATTATAGTAAGCTAGAATGATTAATCATCTGTTATTTATTAAGAATTTATAATCTGTCAGCTTCTATGCAAACTTAACTCAATTATTTGCATACTTTCAGATAGACCTAATTTTAATCCTTATTTCACAGATCAGGAGAAATGGAACGCAAAAAGTTTAAACTTTTTGGGGCTGGGAAGTTGGCTCAGTGGTAGAGCGTTTGCCTTGCATGCCTGAGGCCCTGGGTTTGATTCTTCAGCACCACATAAGCAAAAAAAAAAAAAAAGCCGTAAGTGGCGCTGTGGCTCAAGTGGTAGAGTGCTAGCCTTGAGCTGAAGAGCTGAGAGACAGTGCCAGGGTCACATAGTTGTAAAGTATGCAAGCCAGTATATGTGCTCAGGTAGTCTGGCTACATAGTTTGCCATTATTTATTACACTCACTGGCCTTGAAGTTTATTTTTAAACTTCATTCATATAAATATATACTTTGAACATAATTCTTAGTGGATTAGTTTTGTAACCTGATGGAAAATTAAAAATGTGTTGAACTACTAGTAGCTCATACCTGTAATACAAGCTACTCAGAAAGCTGAGATCTGAGGATTGTGGTTTAAAGCTAGCATGGGAAGGAAAGTTCGTGAGACTATTATTAGAGATTGTTAATCTCCAGTTAACTACCAAAGAGCCATAAGTGGAGTTATGGCACAGTGGTAAAGTGCTAGTCTTGAGCCAAAAAGCTCAGGGACAACTCCCAGGCCCTGAGTTTAAGCCCCAGGACCAACACCCAGAAAAAAAAAATTAAGATGTGTTTTGATTGAGAATCTTTAAAAGCTTATATGATTAACAGGTATCACTGTTTAATATAACTGAATATTGTTATATGGTTTATGATAAGTCTTTTTTTAGAGGCCAAAAGTAAAGTATAAATGTAAAATTAGCATGGATACAGAATCATTGTTTGATGATGATAATTATTTTGATGATTTTGACAGTACTGGTATTTGAACTCAGAGCCTTGTGCTCTAACACTTTTGCTGTGGCTCCAGCCCATCATTCTTTGCTTGTTTGATAGCATTAAATCTTAGTAATTATAGTATATAATATATAGATATTAATAAAACCTAATTATTCAAGAAGCCATCTAACTATAAACTGATTTAAGTTTCAAGTCTTTATGTCTTATTTTTTGCTTTATTTTGATTGTAAGTTTATCATATAGTACTTCTGTGTCATCTGGTATATTTTAAATTCTTATTGAGTGCTACACTTGACATTTTTTTTAAGTTTTTTAAAAAAAATTATTGTTATTATAAAGGTAATGTACAGAGGGGCTACAGTCACATGAGTCAGGTAATGGGTACATTTCTTTTTGGACAATGTCACCCCTTCTCTTGCTCTCCTAGTTTTTTCTTCCAGTCCCTACCCAAAGTTGTACAGTTCATTTTCAACAGTGTCTAGTGAGTACCACTGCCAGCACATATTCTTGGAGTTGATACTTTAAATAATTTGTGAGTTTGTATTTTTGAAATCCTGTTTTAGTGTTATAAAGTGAATGTTTACTTTTTTGTCTGTTTTATAGCTGTTTAGTACATGATGACCCCAGCCTTAGAAAAACAATAAAATTTAGTCTGTCTATGATAATATTTTGATTATTAAGTCTGTTTATAAATATGGCATGATTTGTACATTTGACAGGACTTTTCATTCATGTAATAGTTTATTTAATGATTCATGTGCTTTCCACACCTGCATTATAATGTGAATAGGGAATATCATGGGAATTAAAACCTTTACCATCTTTTAATTTTTATTTTTAAAATTGTGGTAGGTACTGGCATGAACTCCGGCCCTTGTGTTCTTGTTCAAGCACATCTTGCTTGCTTATATCTGGCACTCTACTACTTGAGCAATGCTTCTGGTATGGCTTTTTGCTGGTTCAGTGCGAAAAGTCTCATGGAATTTTCTTCCTGGGCTGGTTTCAATCTGTGATTCTTAGATCTCAGCCTATTGAGTAGCTAAGATTATAGGAATGAGCCACCATCACCCAGATTTTTTAATAATCTTAAATAGACTTAATGCACAATGTGTTGCTTGTTTTTCTTTCTTTTTTTTGGGGGGGGGTCTGATCATGGGGCCTGAACTCTGGGCCTGGGCACTGTCCTTCAGCTCTTCAGCTCAAGGCTAGCGCTCTACCACTTGAGCCACAGCGCCACTTCCGGCTTTTTTCTTTTTGCTTATGTGGTGCTGAGGCATCGAACACAGGGCCTCTGGCATGCAAGGCAAGTGCTCTACCACTGAGCCACCTTCCCAGCCCTGCTTCTTGTTTTTCTTAAGCTAGGCTCTGAATTTGGTCTGGTTTTATCTTCAGTAACATATTTTGTGACACTGGGCAAGTTATCACGATGTGTAAGCTTCAGTTTTGCGCTTCAAAAGGTGAAGATTATCCTATCAAATGGATTGGATGAATATAGTGCTTTGGAAATTCTAAATGCTTAGTTTAGATTATTATTTATTATTTCCTACAATAACAACTAAGCAAGTCTCTTCTTTGTATACTTTCTCTTGTGTTCTAGTAGTACCGTGAACAGGAAGCCATTCGCCTATGCCTAAAACATTTCAGGCAACACAACTATACAGAGGCTTTTGAATCCCTGCAAAAGAAAACCAAGATTGCACTGGAGCATCCTATGTTGACAGATATGCATGACAAACTGGTATTGAAGGGTGACTTTGATGCTTGTGAAGAATTGATTGAAAAAGCTGTGAATGGTATGAAATTTAGATTGATAATTAGGGTAGTTTCAAGTAAAGAAAATTATGTTTCAAATGAATGTATACTTTTATCAGTTTCTGCTCTTTTTTTTAAACCGTGTGTGTGTGTGTATGTGTGTGTGTGTGTGTGTGTGTGTGTGTGTGTTCGTGTTCGTGTTCGTGTTCTCCTCTAAAGCTAGGAATTAGACTAGGAATCAGCTATTTGAAATCAGTTACTTGAAATCAGCTACCCAAATTGAAATTTTCCTGGGAACTGTACTTAACTAAGAATAAGCCTTAGTTTATCCATGGCTTGTTTTAGTATTTATATCAGTTGATAACGTTCTTTAACAGTATAATTTTGGGGAGAGAAGGGCTTGGATATTTAAAAAAAAACTATTAGTAGATAATTATAGTGAACAAGTAAATTTGTATCAAAAATGCTTCTTTGTGGTGACTGGTTTGGATGACACTAATATTTAATAGAAGATGCTGTAACTATTGATAAAATATTATCCCCACCCCTCCCTTTTGTTTTTTTTTTTCCTTCTCCACAGTAATTTATAGGGACCAAGCACAAAATAGGTACTTAATATAAAACTTGTTAGTAGAACTGGGCACATATTTTTATAGAAAGAAATAGGACTTTAATGCCTCACTAGGCAACTTCATATAAGACTAAAAACAACTGTGTTTTAAAATTGTATTAATAACATGCTCAAGTGTTAAGAAAAGCTGTTAAAAGCATATACAACTTTGATGACTACAGAGACTGTAGAATGGGAACCAAGTTTAGAAAATTGATAGTAATTGTTTTTGAAACTTAGAGCCAAGTCATATTTCTGAACTGCTTTGGGCTTTCCTCATCTAACTTGGAATATAATTAATAAACATTCCTCAGTTTGCTACTGGCCTCAGTAGTGATGATTTGATGGACAAATAAGGAAGTAAACTGAAGAATTTTTGGCTTCTGCTCCACTAAAAACAGCAGAGAAGGACAAGAAGTTCTTGCCTACTAAATAGGAAAATAGGGCACCAAAGGCTCTTTAATCAAGCTTCTTATAATGGAGCAAACAAAAGTTACTCAGTATGTTTCATATGTTCCCTAGTTTGATTTTAAGGTGTAATTTGTATTTAAATAAGTGTTAGGTTGTATTTATTTTGTTTCTGTATGCCTAGAAACATCTCAGCATTTATATTTAATTTTATTAGAAGTGATTACTAAACCAGTAATTGTTACTTCTCTGCCCATCAGATCCTAGTGATGGATTGTTAGTAGTAGTCACTTAGGAATAGGAAAGTTTTACTCAAAGAGATTTTAACTGGGTACATGGCTTATGACTGTAATCCTAACTACTTGGGAGGCTGAAAACAGAAGGATTGCAATTCAAGGATAACCTGGATAGAAAAAGTTGAGACCCTTTTGTAATCTACAAATTGGGCATAGTGAGTGACATGCTAGTTTTGTAGAAGGTTGAGATTGGAAAGATAGTAGTTCCAGGTCCCAGTCCTGGGCAGAAAAGTCTGTAAGATTGTAAAAATGGAAGAAGATGGTCATGATGGTGCGTAACTACCATCCCCACTATGATGGGAAGCCAAAAATAGGCAGATTGCAGACAAGGCATAGAACTGGACAGGAAGCAAGACACTTTCTAAAAATAAAGAACACATAAACAAGTTGGAGGCAGGGCTCAGTGGTGGAGTGACAGCCTAGCAAGTGTAAGGCTCTGGGTGTAAACCCCTAGTATCACATGTAGAGCCAAAGAAGCGGGGGGGGAAGAAAACAGGAAGGGAGAGGAGAGAGATTGTACTAAAGAACTCTGTTCTTAGCATTTACCTTATTTGCTATTGAGGTAAAAGTTTGGTGTTAGAAAATAACCTCAAAAAAAACCTTCTCTACTTGTTGTCACTACTCATTTAAAATTTTCATATCAGAGTAAGATTGGCTGTGTAAAAAATTGACAGATGTTCTTTATTTTACTTTTCAAAAGTTTTTTAGAAATAACTGATACTGTACATATTTGAAAGGTTTGATATGTATTTGTGCACATTCATTTGATACCATTATAGTCAAAGTAGCCTCACTGTCCCCACTTTCCTTCATTCCTTTGACAATCTAGCCCTCCCTCTCAATGTTTTCATTCCTGTGCTTAGCCAACTACTCTTTTGCTTTCTGCACTACAGATTTGCTTGTGTTTCTGTAATTTTTATGTCAGTAATGTCCTACTGTGTGTTTTCTTTGTTGAGTGACTTCTTTCAGTCAGCTTAATTATTTTGAATTGTATCTAGATTGTTGCATGCATAATATTCATTTCTGTTTTTGGCAAAGTAATAATCCACATTATAGATATGCCAGCCTGCTTATTCATTCATTTATTGATAGACGTTTGTTTTATTTACGGTTTGCAAATGAAGTGGTTATGAACATTTGAGGGGATTAATTTGTCTTTATAAATTCTTAGGGATGCTAGACTTTGAAATTTTACCATATGTTTATTTAAGGATATAAAATTCCCTGTATTGAGTTTTAGTTGTGCTGTCAGGTATTTTCATTTTTGTACAGTTCAGTGTTTTTATTATGAAAAGAAATATCTCTTTAGAGACAGAAAAAAAAGAAAGAAAAGAAATATCTCTTCTGTGAGCCATAATTATTTGAAAGGGTAGTTTCTAATGTCTTCCTTTAGAATTCTGTTTCTTCTCAGCAGTGCGCATATTATCTTGCTTCCACCTGATTGTGAGATTGCTTTCTGAAACAGGACTTCTTTCCAAAATTCTGCTCATTCTCTCAATCTTCTCTCTTGGCAACTGGAATTTGAACTCAGGACCTTGTGCTTGCTAAGCAGGTCCTTCCAGCCTTTTTCATTCCTGTTATTTTTCTAATAAGGTCTTCACTTTCCACCAAGTACAGTTCCAAACACTTTATCATATCATCCTTGTTGTCATCGTCGTCATCATCACTAACTTAAATATTTAAGGGCTTTCCAGTCTTCTCTTAAGACTCTTAGATGAATTTATGTATCATACCTATCTCTTTTGTAGTAAATGCAGAGTTATCTCAAATGAAAAAGAACATGTAAATAATTTGCACAAGTTGGCATAGGTCAGTGACATAAGTAAGATTTGAATTCAAGTAGTCGCATACCAAAATCTATTTTCTTTTTTACTGTACATTCCTGACCTATTAAAGATTGGCTACCTCTGTTTCCTAGTATTGATTGTTGAAATATAAACTGGTAGCCTTCACATAATTCTTTTTTCAAAATTTGAGCAAACTCAGGGAGGGTAAATGGAGAAGGTGAAAAATGATGAATATGGTCAGAATAGTTTATATACATGCTTGAAAATGGAATAATGACGAATGACAAATGAAAAAAGAGTGACAGTGAGTCTGATCAGAGTACGTTGTATACATATATTGATACTCCAAAATGAAATTCTCTGTATTTGATCCTATGGGATATTGTTTAATTTTATTTTTGATCGGCCATGGGCTTGAACTCTGGGCCTGGGCACTGTCCCTGAACTCTTTTTGCTCAAGGATAGCACTCTGCCACTTGAGCCTCAGTGCCACTTTCAGTTTTCTGGTGGTTAATTGGAAATAAGAGTCTAACAGACTTTCCTGCCCAGGCTGACTTTGAAACATGATCCTCAGATATCAGCCTCCTGAATAGCTAGGGCTACAGGCATGAGCCACCGGTACCCTGTGTTCCTTTAAGATCTTGTAGGAAAGAATTTAAACAAACTGCTTTTAAAAATTAATTTTGGTTAATATTTTTGAATGACAATAAAGGAGTTTATGCTCTACAAGGTATTTACTTACAATTACATTTTAAAGAACAATTATTTTCTTTGAATGTAATCTTGGTTTTCATAAGAAACCAAGTTTGAGGGCTGTGATGTAGCTTAATGGCAACGTACTTGCCTATCAAGTGCAACATCCTGGATTTGATCCTTAGTAACCCCCCTACCTTCTCCCCCACAAAAAAAAAAGAAAGAAAGGAAAAGAAAAAGCCAAGAAACCAAGTTAGATAAGTGGCAGTACTATAAGTCATTTTGTTTTAATCTCAAATGAGATTTGGACATCTCATTTTCCTTTAGCTTTTGAAGTCTTGTTTTTAAATCATGTACTTCTTGAGAGCATCTGTTATTAGAAAAAAGAACAGTGTGTGTCTAGGACTTCATGAAATGGGTTTATTATAGCAAAAATCATATAAAAATATGAAGTACTAACTGGGTTCTGGTAGTTCATGCCTGTAATCCTAGCTACTTAGGAAGCTAAGATCTGAGGATCCTGGTTTGAATCCAGCCTGGGCAGCAAAGTATGTGACAATTGAGCACAAAGAGGCTCAGGGACATTGCCCAAGCCCTGAGTTTAAGTACTCTTAGCAACTTGTTCTTAGTATGCTTTTTCCTGAATGAAATTTTCATTTCTTTTGGATATTTTTACTTCTGTCAGACGTTTGATTTCATTTCTTATGTTTTTGACAAAATAGACTTACTACTTCCTGACTTCCCCCTGAAATGTAGATGCAACTTAAAAATTTAGACGATTCACAGACATCTTTAAATTCCTTGTTTAATTTCTTTTTTGAGACTCAAAATAGTGTAATGGGTGTTGCATTTTGTAAATAAGCATGTCCTTAATGTTTCATTGGCTTACTTTTTTTTGGCTGCCAAGATAGAATATCTGTAAGTGAAGATAGCAAAATAGAAGATTTTTAGGAGACTTTTCGAGAATTAGAAATATAGGGGTCAAAATGAAATCATTTAAGTTGCAGTGGTATCAGACTTTTAATTTTTTTTTTTTTGGGTCCGGTCGTGGGGCCTGAACTCTGGGCCTGAGCACTGTCCCTCAGCTCTTCAGCTCAAGGCTAGTGCTCTACCACTTGAGCCACAGTGCCACTTCCGGCTTTTTTCTTTTTGCTTATGTGGTGCTGAGGAATTGAACCCAGGGCCTCATGCATGCAAGGCAAGCGCTCTACCACTGAGCCAACTTCCCAGCCCCCAGACTTTTAATTTTACATATAAGAGATAAATAGGAAGTTCTCATGCATTAAAACAAAATATTGAAAATAATGTATTTTTTTAAACCTGCCCTGCTTTAATGTTACAGTATTTTTAATGATTGACTCTAGGGATTTTATACTTGTGGATTTGTTTTAAAAAATCACACGAGCCAAAACACCAGTTGTTTTGTTGTATTTTTAATTGAGTTTTAGCTTTTTTTTTTTTTTGCCAGTCTTGGGGCTTGAACGCTGGGCCTAGACAATGTCTCTGAGCTTCTTTTGCTTAAGGTAAGCACTCTACCACCTGAGCCACAGCGCCACTTCTTGCTTTTTTTGTAGTTTATTAGAGATAAGAGTCTCATGGAGTTTCCTGTTCTGGCTGGCTTTGAACCATGTCTTCAGATCTCAGCCTCCTGAGTAGCTAGGATTACAGGTATGAGCCACTGGCTCCCAGCTCTAGTTTTTGAAAAGGGTCTTGAGTTTTGCCCTGGCTAGCCTAGACCACAATCACAGAATCCTCCCAATCTCGAGAAAACAATATGAAAGTTTTGATGAATTAAGTATCTGAGTTTTTTGCTCTATTGCTTGAACTACAGTTCCACTTCCAGTTTTCTAGTGGTTTATTGGAGATAAAAGTCTCTCGGATTTTCCTGCCCTGTGATCCTCAGATGTCAGCCTCCTGAGTATCGAGGATTACAGGCATGAGCTACCGGTGCCCAGACGCTTTTTAGCTTATTAAGAGTATAGATAAAAGAATTGGTTGGAGAAGAAATTAAGGAATTTAATTTTACCTGCAATGTTTAGGCTGACTTAGAGATGAGGGATTGGATCCTTCATCTGATTATGCCCTGGTTTAGGAGCGATGAGAAGAATTGTTCCCAGTGGATTTGTTTTTTAAGAGAGAGTCACAGAGTCTAGGGAAAGATGAAGTAGTGACTTTAAAGTTGAGCATAAGGTGGATACATGGAGTTCAGGTTAACATGCTGCTTTTAACATGGTGGGAATGCTACTGTTCTACAATTTTGAAGGAGCTTCAGGCTCCATCCATCTAATAAATTCAGTTTTGGGTATAAAGAACTTGACTTTTCAAAAATTGTATAACATTAGCGTGATAAACTTAAGTAATGTAGCAACTGTTTTCTATCAAAAATGGTAAATTTGTATTTGGAAAGGTCACAGTGAACATTCTGTATAATATATACTAATTTTTAAAATAGTTATAAAAATTTGAAATGTAATATTTTTTGTAAGTTATAAAAATTTTAAATGTAATACTTTTTGTAAGTATCCTATTTTTGCTTTATACATTTTACCGTTTCTCTTCTGTTTTCTGTGTATATGTTCATCATTTGCTCTCCCTTCCTATCCTATGTCTACTATGTAGAAGTAATATATATATATTTGCATATATGTGTATATGTATACACATACATATTATATATATATATATATGTATGTGTATATGTGTGTATGTACCTTTTTTAAAATTTGGTTAGTCGTGGAGCTTGAACTTGGGGCCTATGCCCTGTTCCTGAGCTCTTTTTGCTCAAGGCTAGTGCTCTACCAACTTGAGCCACCCTTCTCTCCCCCTCCCCCCCACCAGAGCTATTTCTGGTTTTCTGGTGGTTAATTGGAGATGGGTTTCACAGACTTTCCTGCTGGAGCTGGCTTTGAACCATGGTCCTCTTATCTCAACCTACTGAGTAGCTAGGATTATAGGCTTGAGCCACCAGAGCCCAGCTAGTGTATATTTTAAATTAGTAATTTTACATTCTCTTTAATTAAAAATTTTTAAAACTTAAAAATTTATTTTAAAACTCATGTCTCTTTTGAAGCTGAATAAAATTTCATTACTGCTCTATTTCTATGTCAGTTCACAGTTATGATTTTTGTTATCATAATTTTTGAGTAGAAGCCCTACATATTTTATCTTGAAAATGATTATCTTTAAAAAGGATTCTCAAATGTTGTAACAGAATAGTTTGGTCACAATAGTCTGGATAAGGTAAGAATTTATGGAAAATGGGAAAGGGAAACAAAGGAGGAGGCTATAATGCTTGATAAGAAATGCACTCATTATCTTGCTCATGTAATTGTAACTCATCTGTACAGTATTTTCACAATAAAAAAAAAATTATGGAAAAGCAGAAGGAAGCATAAATTATATAGTAGCAATACATTTACTAAAAGTAAGTTGAAACTTACTTGCGATAACAATTAAAATGTAAATTCCAATTTATGAGCTATAACTTAAAAAGGAAGTTTCTGTTCCTAAGAATTTTTATTTAAAAATAAAAAATTGATGCCTGTATAGGATTAGTTATAACTAAGCTTCAGAATTAATTAAGGATACTTCTCTAAACTGCATGGTTACTGGCAAATATATGAGCCGTGTATTGAAACAAATAGTTTTAGTTTTTGACAAGTCTTTAATCCCAATGAATAAAGAAAAGATTATTCAGATTGAAATCAGGATCAAATGATAGAATTCATAGAAGTAGCCATAGATGATGTATTTATTTAGGTAATGTAAAAGAATACTCTGGCTTAGTTAGGAAATATTACTACATCACATAACAAAAAGTTGGGTTTATTGATTCACTGATACAATTTGTTTCTTTCTGCTCTATCATTGAATCAATTCACTTTCATTTATTTATGATTGGCTGTATACATGGTGTATGGATATGAAAATGTCCAGAAGAATGATTTTTTTCTTTGTGTGTTTAGAAACAAGGAAGCCTATAAGTTCACCAGAAGACTTCTTATGTTTCATTAGCAAGAATTGGGTTCTTAAATCTTTGAGGAGCATGACAGTAGGACATGATAACCATAACTATTTGGAAAGTAGTTATATAATTACAATAACTTGTGTAACAACTTATTTTAAAGAAGTAGATTAAGAATTTATTGATGGAAGATTTGGAAATTAAGCATAGTGCAACTCTACTTCTTAAGTGCTATATTATTTAGGTTACATTTCTTATTCTCCAAATACACATTTTCCTTTCTGTTAAATAGAGTAATAACAGTTCTTAGTGTTGTATTTAGAATGAATCGATTTAAGACAAAATAGGTTTTAACATTTGGCAAGTATTCAACAAATATAGTTCTACTATAGTTGATGGAACTTTTATCTCTGTAGATTTTTATTTACTCAAAAGAAACTGTAGACTGAATTTCACTTTGTGTGTGAGGTGATGTTCTTTGTAGTTCACATTTCTTTTTTAATTCTCTTGTATTCTGGTAACAGGAAGTACGGACAAACCTTTCTTGGCAGGAAGGGATTGGAATGCAGTAAATCCATTTCATTATGGAATGTAAATATTTAAAGTATTTTACAGACACAAAAAGAAAAAGTCACATAAAGGAATTATTCCAAGCTTTAATATAATTATCCCAATTTTTAATTATTCCTTCTTCCCATTGTTTTTATATCTGTTTGGAATGAGAGTTTTAAAATGGTGGCTCAAGTGATAGAGCACTAGCCTTGAGCAAAAAATTTCAAAGATAGCATTCAGTTCAAGCCCCTGGACCTGCACAAAAAAATAATTTAAACCTGATTTCTGATGGCTCATGTCTATAATCTTAGCTATTCAGAAGGCTGAAATCTGAAGGTGGTTTGTATTCAAAGGTTCAAATCCTGCTTGGGCAGGAAAGTATGAAATTTTTAGCTCTAATAAATCACCAAAAAGCTGAAAATGGAGTTGTAGCTTAAGTGATAGAATGCTAACCTGGAGCAAAAAAACTCAAGGACAGGTCCTAGGCCTTGGGTTCAAGACCCAAGACCAAGTTGGGGGTGGGGGGGAAACAGCCGGGTGCCAGTGGCTCACACCTGTAATCCTAGCTACTGCGGAGGCTGAGATCTGAGGATCACGGTTCAAAGCCAGCCTGGGCAAGGAAAGTTCGTGAGACTCTCCAATAAACCAGTAGAAAACTGGAAGTGGTGCTGTGGCTCAAGCAGTAGAGCGCTCGCCTTGAGTTAAGAGCTGAGGAATAGTTCAAGCACCATGACTGACCCCTCCCCCCCCCAAAAAAAAATACTATTGCTGTGTGCTGGTAGCTTATGCTGGAAATCCTAGTTATTCAGGAGGCTGAGATCTGAGGATCAAGGTTTGAAGCAGCCCAGGTGGGAAAGACCATGAAATTCTTACCTCCAATTAACTACCAGAAAACTGAAAGTGGAGTTGTGGCTCCAAGTGTTAGAGTGCTAGTCTTGCAAAACAGCTCAGGGACAGCTCTCAGGCCCTGAATTCCATGACTGACCAAAAGGGGAAAAAAAGTTATTAGGTCTTGCTTCAATGTAATAAAATATTTATTCATATTTCTGCTGCTACTGTTTTGAAGCTTTAACTTCTACTGTTTGACTTCTAACTTTTTCTCCTCCCATTTCCTTCTTTCAGGTTCTTTGTTTAAACTTTCTAATAATGTCACATAAGTGTCCATTAAGTATAGTAATGTATATCTAATAAGTACAATAATGATGGGAAATGTAGTAAGTTTAATATGAGCTGCCACTAATGCAGTTTACATGATTATGTCAGCCAACACTACTACTTATATTTTGGTTGGTAGGAATGCAAAGTGATATGGTGCATATTTAGTGAAAATATGCTATTATATGAGTAACATTGCATGAGTATATGTGAGTAACATGTTAGTAATTTCTCAATGTAAATTTATGTTTTAATCTTATTTTTGCTATAATAAAATGTCTAGCAAAGATGTAATTCTTTCTCATCCTTTGATATTTGCAGATGGCTTGTTCAATCAGTATATCAGTCAACAAGAATACAAACCACGATGGAGTCAAATCATTCCCAAAAGCACCAAAGGTAAGTCATACCTTCTGGATTGTGATACTCTTTGTTTAGAGTCTTAGTTTTCAATTTTCTCAAGATAGCTGAAATATTATAATACTCTATTGCTAGAGAACAGGTTTCAAAGCCAATATCGTTTCCTTAACTGGATTCCAACACTAATTATAATATATAATTTATTTCCCCTGCTGGGGATTGAACCTCAGTGTCTTAGGTTAGCCCAACACTACCATTGAGTTATACCCACAGTCCTAGATTGTCATATTTCAATTATCTTTTGTAGTCTTAATTTATTTCTATGACAGAAGGCCTCACAAGGTTATCAATTGTTTATTCTTTGTTTACATAGAATATCATTAGAATACTTATTTCTATAGTGATCCCCATGTGAAATTATAGGCCATATTGCAATGTAATGTATTCCTGTAAAACGTTATGTTCTTTAAAATTACTCACTAACCGTTACTGAGCCTCTGAGAAAAAATGGAGGGCAGACTGTTCTTTATAACCAAATATCAATAAAAGTTGTTTTAGTAATTTTAATAAGAATTTGGTATGATTTAAGTCATTGAAGGCATTTATATTGAGGTTCATAGTGAGTTTGGAGCTTTAGTATTGGGACTTAGGCTTCCTTCTTTAACATGTTGATCCTACATGGATTTGCTTTTAATAGGAACTGTTATCAAAACTCAAATATGATTCACAGTTTAGTTTTCTTCATTAATCTGTTATTTTCAGCAGGGAAGTTATTGTCTTCTGTACCTACTACTTTGCTATATAGTTAATATACAGTATAACTGTAGAAATATTTAAATGTACCTACTTTCCTTAAGGGAAAGTCCTCTAGATATTCAGATTTTTTTCCTTGCAATCTGCATATATTAGCAAAGCCTTTTTTAGTTGTGGGAGTTTATCCTTGAAGGCATTAGTATTGGATAAGGATAGAAAAAAGTGCTTTTGAACTTATATAATTTTGTTAAATTGCTTTAAAGACAGGTATTTGCAAACATAGATTTAATTTGTAAAATACAAATACAGTGACAATACTAAAGTGTATTCTTGATTTAAAAAAAGAATTATTATTTGTGCTGACACTGGGTTTTCAACTTAGGTACTGCATGCCTTCTCTGAACTTTTTTCTCAAGGCTGGAGCTCTAACATTTGAGCCACAGCTCCACCTGGGGTTTTTTTTGGTAGTTAACTGGGGATGAGAGTCTTTCAGCTCTCTTCACTGGACTGGCTTTGAGCTGAGATCCTCAGATTTCAGCCTCTTGAGTAGCCTCTTATAAGAATAAGCCACCAGCACCTGCCTTTTTATTTTTTTTTTAAATACCAATTCTGGGACTTGAACTCTGGGCCTCCAGCTCTCTCTTGTCATTTTCACTCAAGATTGCCACTCTTAAACACTGGAGCCACAGTTCCACTAAGGTATTTTACTAACTAATTGGAGAGTTCTCATCCAGTATTTTGCTGGCAAGTCAGAGATAAAAGTCTCATGCACTGTTGCCCCTGCTGGTTTCAAATTCTTTAGATTTCAGCTTCCTGAGTTACTAGGATTTCAAGTGTGAGCTACCAGTTCCTGGCCTCTTAGTCTGTTTTTGAATGTAGCAGTAGATCGGAAGAGAAGTACAAAGCTTAAGTGATAAGGAGCTGTATCTAACTATGAGAAAAGAAAAGGATTTAGCTACCATACACAGTAGAAATGAGAAGATGTGGGGGTATGTCTTGTGGTGAATGATAATGGTTCCATGAACTTCAATTCTTTTTTTTTTTTTGGCCTTATTTTTCTTTTTATTTAAATAAGTTTTTATTGTGAAAATACTGTACAGAGGGGTTACAATTACATGGGCAAGATAATGAGTACATTTCTTATCAAGCATTATAGCCTTCTCATTTGTTTCCCCTTCCCATCCCTTCCTATCCTCCCCCCAGCTCCCCTCCAATCCTCCTCCCTCCCACCCCACCAAAGTTACAACGTTCGTTTTTCAACATAATGACTTGTACATCTCATTGTTGTGATGGGTCCACCTGTATCCCTATTTAAACGATTCGTTTTTTCCCTTCCCCTCCACAAATTATACCGACATCAAATACAGTGAAAGCAGGGGTTATACCATTGGAGAGAGACATACAAAGCAACAAAGAAATAATCTTATGTGTTAGAAACAATCGCATGAAAGAAAAAAACATTTGAATATATATCTTAGGGTTCATTTCCCTAACATCAACTTATCTGACCTTATCTGCTTGATTTAATTCTTTGATTTAGAAAATTTTATTGAAATTTTTTTGTATTTATATACATTTAAAACAACAGATTTTTAAGAGTTCTGTAGCCTGAGGGCAATAAAGTTTAACACATAGCTAGCTAAGTTGTATTATCTAACTTTGTGTAAATACAGTTGTATGATGTTGAACAGTGGCAAAATTCCCAAAAAGTATCCTGATACCAAAAAAAAGGGCATTTTTTCTCGTGAATAAAAAGTTGGATGTTGCCTGTTTTTCATAGGAGAAACTGAGAAGCTTATTAGCCCAAGTGATAGGTTTCAGCTGATGAAAGCTTCATAAAGAAAACTTTAGACTTTTTGGTTTTTGACCACATGAAATATGGTCAAAATGCTATAACTTTTGAACCATTAAAATGAAGTTCTTTCTTCATTTATATAAGATTTAGTATAAAAGCTATATATCAGCCATGCATAACTGTTATTCCAGCACTTAGCTAAGGCAGGAGGATTAAGAGCTTGAGGCCAGTTGGGCTGAAACTGAGAAGCTGCCTGAAAAAAATGGATGAAATAAAAAAAATAATAAAACAAAATTAAAGTTTTATCCTTTAAGTTTGAAAAAACTTCTGATTATATTTAAACCTGCCTGTTAAGCTCTGTGTATAAATAAAAATTAAAGTGAAGTAAACCTTGAATTTTTTTTCAGTACTCAAGTAAATAGTTGATAAATGATGTGTGATAGGTTATTTCTGAAAGATGGCTAAAGAAATACAGTAAGGAAATTATCATTAATGTAAGACTTCATAACATTTTAGTTTTCAACTGCCAGCTTTATGAACCTTAAAACTACTTAGTATATAAAAGTTTATGTCAAGAATAGATAGTAGACCTTACTTGGTGTTTTTTATCTTTGTTTGCAATGCCAGTTTCAGTGTTTTATTCTGAAGTTTTTATTGAACTTACTGTTCATTAACAACAAAAAAGGCCAGATGCTGGTGGCTCGTGTTTATAATTCTAGATACTCAGAAGATTGAGATCTGGAGATTGTAGTTCAAAGTCATCCAGAACAAGAAAGTCCGTGAGACTAATGTCCAATTAACCACCAGAATGTTGGAAGTGGAGGTCAAGTAGTATAGAGTACTAGCCTTGGGCACAAAAGCTCAGGGACAGCATCTAATCCTGGATTTCAAGCACAGGTCTGGCACAAAAAAAGAAAAAGTAGCTTTGAATTGCATTAATTGCCTGAAAGCAATTGAAAGAAGGAAAAAGATACTTATTTTTAACAAAAGTTTAAGATGTAATGTTTCTTCTTTGAAATTCTTTATTTATTTTAAAAGAAATTCCTTTATGAAGTTTGAAAGAACAAGTGAAGGTTTTTAGTTTTTCTTTTTTTTTAACCATAAGATTGAAGTTACTCTCCATGCTTAGTTATTTATTACTCTTGCAAGAGAAAATACTGTTTTGCTTCAGGTGATGGAGAAGATAACCGACCAGGAATGAGAGGTGGCCATCAGATGGTTATTGATGTTCAGACAGGTGAGAATCTTTTAAAATTATACTTTGTTTTCCAAGATTTCAGTGTAATCTAGAGATTTTATTTTACTTCTTCAGTAAATGCATGTAATACATGCTAACTCATACTAACTTACCTATGTTTTAAAATATCAGGTAAAGATGATTATATTTCTTTCCTTTTATTATATAAGTTAAATGTTGGTTATAACCTAGTAGTAAAGGAAATAAGCACCAATATAGCCTAATCAAGCTGTGGCACTTGGTAAGAGAAGATACTGCTGAACAAGTAAAATTAGGTCCCCTAAAAAAAAATATAATGTATGGCCTTTAATATACATGGGGGTACATGTGCATAACTTCTTTGTGTTGTGTTTTCCTGGAAAAAATGTGTAACATTTTTAAATTTAAAGTGCACTTATGCTATATTATATACTGATGGAAATTATTGGAATGAAAGGAATAAGATGTATTTTTAAAGAGAAAGAATATTAGTATTAGAATTAATTTATTATTATTAAATTTTAAACATCATTAATAAGCTTTTAAAAATTTGTCTTACTTCATTTTATTGCATTTTGTTTTCTTTTTAATCCATCCTGGGTTCCTAGAGTTCAGGAAAACTTAAATGCCATTATATTAGTACTTTATGGTAAGCTGTAATCTTGTAAATAATTCTAAGACTCTAGGATAGTTTTGTTTTTTATTTTAGAAATTTTACTGCATATAATGAAATATCTGCTTAACATTTTGCTTTTTTGAGAGTAATAATCATTTTTGTTATATCATGCTAGTAGACAGTTTTAGGAATAAAAAATTGCCATTGTAGACTATTGTTGTGAAAGAAAATTAAAATGTGGATATTAAATCATCTTGCCATGAATGTGTTTTTGTAAAATATTTTAGTAAGTAAGGAAGATTTTAAGTCAGGCACAGGTGGCTCAGTCTTTAATGCTACCTAGTTAGGAGGTTGAGATCTAAGAATCATGGTTTAAAACCAACCTGGGCAGGAAAGTCTGTGAGACTGTTATCTCCAATTAACAACCAAAAAGTTAGAAATGGTGCTATGGCTTAAGTGGTAGAGTACCAGTCTTGAATGAAAAAATGCAGTCAATGACCAGGCCCTGAGTTCAAGCACCTGAACCAGAGTTATGTGTATTTTTTCATTTAAAATTAATAGCTAACATACAGTTAACATATGAGTTGGTTTGATAGTATTGTTAGGATCTCTTTGGAAAAAAGTTTTTTTCAAGTTACAGAAATACACTTTTCTGATTGTGGCCTCTCCTGAACTACTCTCTGCCCTAAATAAATATGCTTAGGGTTTAATTAATGATAGTTTTAGGCATTTTTTTCTCCTGCCTGTTAGTCTAGACTATAAATGTGAGCCAGAATTATATACAAATTATTTTTTTATCTTGGAAAATTTGAATACCTAACAAAAACATGCAAGAAAACATACGTTAATCAGTGTTTAGATTGTTCATGATAATAACATATTTCCTCTTCAACAATGCCTTCTTGTAATGCCTTCTTCCTTAGTCCTATAAGGAAATTTTTACTAAACCATTTTAAAAAACTCACTAATTATATACTGAAGGAAAGTACTTGTTTAAAAGGCTTTTATTTTCGAAACAAAATGCACTTTTCTCAAATATGAAGATAAATGTGGTGTTCTTTCTTTGTTTTTTGGTCAATCATGGGGCTTGAACTCTAGGCCTAGGCACTGTCCCTCAGCTCTGCAGCTCAAGGTGAGTGCTCTACCACTTGAGCCACAGTGCCACTTCCAGTTTTCTGGTGGTTTATTGGAGATAAGTGTCTCACAGACGTTCCTGGCCAGGCTGGCTTTGAACCGGGATCCTCAGTTCTCAGCCTCCTGAGTAGCTAGGATTACAGGTGTGAGCCACTGGCTCCCAGCAGTGTGGTGCTCTTGTAACATTTAAAGTTCACCTTACCAAGGGGCCAGAGGGGGGGGAATTATTGATCTAAGAAAAAAGTACTTGGTACATGTGGCTGCTTTTGCTCATGGGCTAGTGCTTTACCAACTGAGCCAGGCCTCCAACCCTGAAGGAAAATTTCAAAATGCTTACTGTGTTGTTTATGGGACAGTACCATATATGATAAAGTACATTCATGAGAAAGAAGAAAAACAGTTTCATTGTTGTTTTGAGACAGGTGCTTGCTGTGTAGCTTAGCTCTAGCCTTGAACTCTTTGTCCTCCTGCCTCAGTCTCAGCCTCATTGCTGGAATTACAGGTGTGTACCACCTAGTTCTTCTGTATGCCTAGATGTTAGGTAGCCTATGTGAAGCCCACCCTCAGGGTGGGACAGCAAATGGCCCTGGCTGGCTGGAGGAGAAGCAAGCCTAAAATCTGGTACCTAAAACTGGCCTTCCAAGTACATGTAATCGTGTGCTTCCTTAGGCTTCCAAACTGACCAGTTAACCACCAGTCTCAAGGGAAAAGTGACTTCTACTCCCTGTCATGTCTCTTACCAGAATTCCACCACAGATGGTTTTAGTCAGTTTGTTTCAGTTGTGTTCTTTTTGCATCAACCTGGACTTCAGTATAACTGCCAGTTAAGACTGTGTGGCTTTATTTGTTGAGCGTTCCAGGGAAAATGAAAATGTAGGTAGTTGAGTTTCCAAAGTAGCCAGCCTAAGGGCAGCTACCTCACAATTATGGGTTGGGAAATGTAGTGCTTTACCAGTACTAGTTGCTATGCTGATCTTAGGAGATCCATGCATGTTTAAGCTGCTTTTTTGTTCTGTACCTATTTTCCATTGCTAATATTTTGCATTGAGGTTCTCCTTCTTCTACCTCTACCTTCTGCCATTGTATAATGTGTTCTTATTCTCTGTTTTAATACCCAGAATTTCTGGATCTCAACTCTGTCCAGTATTGAACTTCTCTTAGTCACTTACCTTACTGAGGACTGTTCTCTCGTGGTTTTGATTCCAAACTGAGAAGCTGAAGAGTACTAATTGTTTCTAATGTGCCATCTTGGACATTCCTCTTTAGTCTTTTATATGCTATCCTAGTTGGTTACTGTAGAAGGAAAGGAGAGCTGTAAATATACTTTTAAATTTTTAAAGAAAAATATTAAAATTTTGCTTATAAAGATTATATATGCTAAGCCAAATGTGATGGTGCATCTCTATAATCCTGGTACTTGAGATGGAAATAGAAGAGTTACATTGCAGGATCAACCTTGACAGTGAGATCTTGTCTCAAAAACTAACAAAACAGTCAGGGCATCAGTGGCTCATGTCTCTGTAATCCTAGCTTCTCAGAAGGCTGAGACCTGAGCATCATGATTGGATGCCAGCTTGGGCAAGAAGTTGGTGAGACTTTATCTTCAGTTAGCTATCAAAAATGCTGGAAGTGAAGCTAGAAGTGGAACAGTGCTAGCCTTGAGCAAAAAAGCTCAGAGACAGTGCCCTGAATTCAAGTCCCTGGACTAGCACCCACCAAGACCAACACCAACACCAGAAAGAAATCCTACAAAAACACATTAGGTAGGTTTAGTAGTAAAGAATGACTTCCCCAAAGTAATGCTTGAAAAACCTAGACATTCTATCTTAGCAGTATTGGTGAGTTAAGACTAATATAGAGAAGCTAGATTTTTAGAGCAAGGTCCTTTTATCTATTGAAATTAGATGCAATATTTTGTACATCTTTTGGAGAAAGCAATACATGATTTTACATTATCAGAGATAAATTAAGAATAGTCTTTAGTAAAACTAAAGAAAATTTATTGTATCTTATAGAATGTGGCTTATATTTCAAAGCAGTTATTGGCTCCTAGTGTTTCATTTACCTTTCATATATTTAATGATATTTTAAGTACTATTAAGTCTTTATGTATTATTAGTATTTTTTTTTCTTTTTGCCAGTGATGGGGCTTGAACTCAGGGCCTGCGCACTGTCCCTGAGCTTCGTTTGCTTAAGGTTAGCACTCTGTACCACAGTACCACTTTGGGCTTTTTCTGTTTATGTGGTACTGAGGAATCAAACCCAGCCCCTAAATCTTTAATATTTAAAATTTAATAGTACGTAAATTTTATTTTCCTTTTTAGTTAATAGTTGTATGGGATTGGGTTTTTGTTTTTGCCATATTACTATTAGCCCTATGGATAGAGTAACCATAAAAATGCATGATAATATAAATGTTACTGTTAATTTTCAAAACTTTCTTCCATCCTTTAGGAATCATATCATGGTAGCAAAGGAATGTAAGTTGTTTGAACTACTGGATTTGTATGCTAGTTTTATTAATTATAATCCCTGAACCTGACACTTAACATTCTTTATGAGATGGATTTTAATTCTGAGTAATACAGTTGAATAGAGAGAAAAAGCATATCTATTTGTTACTGCAAGGAACTTTGTTCAGTTAGAAATGTGTATATTGTACTAGGCAATTACTATTTATTTTTATTTTTTGTCAGTTGTGGGGCTTGAACTCTGGGCCTGGGCACTGTCCCTCAGCTCTTCATGGCTAGTGCTCTTCCACTTTGAGCCACAGTACCACTTCTGGTTTTCTGGTAGTTAATTGGAGATAAGAGTCTCAAAGACTTTTCCTACCTCAGCAGGCTTCTAATCATGATCCTCAAGTCTCAGCCTCCTAAGTAACTGGGATTACAGGCGTGAGCCACCGGTGCCCAGCTACTATATAATTTTTAGTGAATTTTGGAAATCTGCCATATAAGCCTTCTCCCCTTGGTCAAAATAAGTAATAAGACTTAAAGCAATACTCTTTTACTTGATAACTGTGAAAGAAGTTGATGGGAGTTCGTTATCACTTGGAAGTTCCATTTTATAAATAACGGAACCTTAAACTATTTTTGTACCGATTGTATGAACATGCTGGCTTGCGCTGTGCACCATGTCTGTCTCTATGTGTGTCTTTCCTATACATGTGGTATCACAGTTTTTTTAACTTCCTTAAACTTTTACTTTTTTTTTTTGTTCAGTCAGGGGCTTGAGCTCAGGGCCCGAGTGCTGTCTATGAGTTCTTTCACTT